ATGTGTGTATGATGGATCCAGAGTTCAGGGTCCTTTTCTGGAACTGTTTCACCTATGCAAAGCTTGCAGTACACCAGACCAGTCAAAGACATTTCTGTACACATATAACTGAAACACAGTAATATGATTCCCCCACTTTGTGAGACATATGTTCCCACATATGTGGGGTGGCCCCAGTACATGCATGGAACAATGCTAGAGATAATAATTGAGGCCATTCTGACCCATTTCATAGAATCATAGAGTTGGAAGAGACCCCAAGGGCCATCCAGTCCAACTCCCTGTCATGCAGGAATTCACAATCAAAGCACCCCCAACAGATGGCCATCCAGTCCAACTCCCTGCCATGCAGGAACTCACAATCAAAGCACTTCCAATAGATGGCCATCAAGCCTCTATGTTTAAAACCTCCAAAGAACGAGACTCCACCACACTCCGAGGGAGTTTGTTCCACTGTCCAACAGCTCTTACTGTCAGGATGTTCTTCCTAAAGTTGAGGTGGAATCTCTTTTCCTGTAATTTGAATCCATTGTTCTGGGTCCTATTCTCTGGAACACAGAAAACAAGCTTGCTCCATCCTCAATATGACATCCCCTCAACAGGGCTATCATATCACCTCTTAACCTTCTCTTCTCCAGTCTCTTTCCTGGCGCTTTTTGTCTAACCTAGCCATCAGCTCTCGGTTCATGCTCTCCAACCTCCAGAGGACTGGGGCAAGAGGGTATGTATGCAGGAAACGTGAAATGTCCAGGCCCTTTCCCCCATACTGGATTGCTCTCTCCTGCCCCCCACCCCCCATACAAAAGAAGGACCACCATCAAAGTCAAAGGATATGAGTCAGAAGGGCTTTCACGCTTGCTTTAGCACAGGGGTAGGCAACCTTTTTGAGCCGGGGGCCGGGTTGCTGTCCCTCAGACAACTGGGGGGCCGAAGCACCAAAAATAAATAAATAAATAAATAAATAAATAAAAATAAAAATTTTTTTTAAAATATGCATGCACACTCTCTCAACCCCAGAAAAGCCTTGGCAAAACACCTCTGCCAAGAAAACCCCAAGAACAAGTAATAACAACAATAATCAATATCATCATGGCAGGCAGTGGCGGCGGCGGCAGGACTGGCTTGGGGCCGGTCCAAAGGCCTTGTGGGGCCGCATCCGGCCCCCGGGCCTTAGGTTGCCTACCCCTGCTTTAGCAGTTTAGTTAGTAGTCCAGGAAGTGAGATGATAGACCAAAACCAGCAGATGTGATTCCTCTTCAGTCTTGGGAAGATCTTCATAGTCCATTTGTCAGTGTTGAAAGGAAACTGAGAGGCTGGTAGATTACTACTCCAGAGGTAATTATTTTTGCATGTGACACATGTTTTCACTCTTGACTTGCAAATAGGCTGGATATCAGGAGCAAACCAGTGAATGGTGAGGGAGGGTTTTGAATGGCTATAAATCAAACCCATTACCAAATCCAGTTTGTGCCCATATCAGTTGCTGGAGAATGTGAAGAGGGTGTAGTTGTTCTTGTGTGAGTCTGCTGCCTTGGTCTGAGCCAGCAAGGCTCTCATGAATAAAATGGAGCTTACCAACCTAATTCTAAACACATTTGTAGAGGGGCAGGCAGGTTGAGAAGCTCTTCTTCTTTATAGAAAGGACTCTGGAGGTAGATGCTGTTTATCTTGATTGTTGTAGGCAAGCACACACAGCTATGGCAAGATCCAACTATAGAAGAATCCTGTTCTTTCCCAGCTGAAACTTTATTTCAGGGTTTATTGCAGAGCTGCTGTTGCAGCCTGGCACAAACAGTCTGTGCTTTTCTGGCTTTCCTTCACTATCATCCCCATGCTGATGCTGCTAAAAAGTTTCCAGAGAACAAAGGGCTGGACATAGAAGACAAAGGGCTGGGTGGTCACAAAGACTTTGTAACAAGGAGTTTCTTTGTCAGAGGCTTTGTTAACTGAGGCTTGTGTGTGGGTTGTGTTTCTTCAAGTTGTTCCCAATTAATGGCGATTTGTTCAGAGACCTCTGCCACTGCCTTCCCCTGAGGCTGAGAGTGTGTGACTTGCCCGTGGTCACCCAGTGGGTTTCACGACTAAGCTGGGAATCAAACCCTGGCCTCCAGAGTCATAGTCCAACACTCAAACCAGTATGTCATGCTGAGGTATCCTTGTGTGTGTGTGTGTTTGTGTATACACACATATATAAAATAAAAGTACTGTATAAGGTTTTGCAGTGTGCCCCAGTAGGCCATTGCTTATGTGTATTTGTGCTTGCTATCCTAGACTGGGAGTGGTCTGTGTTGCAAAGCACTGGACCTTGGCTCCAAAGGACAGGTTGCATCTGAGCTGCAGAATTAATGCATTTTGACAATGGGTAAATTGCCATGGCTGAAGGCTATGGAATTCTGGGATGTGTAGTTTTGTGAGAGATTTAGCCTTCTC